ATTTATAACATTGTCACGGAGTATAGCGGTCACCGTAAAATAAACAATGTGTGGCTGTCTGAACAGGCACAAGGCGAGGGTCATACTACCGACATCAATTCCGGTAGAGGTGGACGCTATTTGTACTTGTGTTGGAATTTTGCTTAAGTTAGTGATCAAGGTCACAGCCATATTATTTTATATTTAAGTTTTTGGTTTTATTTATTTATTACAGTTTTATTAATATTAGCTTGAAATCGTTGATTTAATGATAAACATAATTTTATAATAACATAAGAATTCTGATTAGATTAAAAAAAAGTGTGCTGAAGCATTTATTTAAATGTTTTCATATAGTTCAATATTTTGTTGTGTTTTTAGTTGACATTGTCAATTTGACAAGTTTAAATAAAAATTTTAAATAAAACAATTTTTTATTTAATAAAATTATTTAATATTTAATAAATTTATTTAATATTTATTTACTACTAATAAATTTAAAATAGATATATTTTCTATTATGGTAATTAAAGAATAATATTAGGTTCATTTTTCAGTGATTTATCAATTAATATAATTTAATAATTATAGCACATAAATATTTTATAATAATTATTTTTATATCAGTGTTGAGCAATGTACCATAATACCATGGTAGAATGAAACCATTGAATTACTTATTATACCTAATGTTTGAGAAATGAATTATTTACATTGTGTAACAAATATACAGGAAGTACATATGTAAGTAATGGTGTTATATCATAACGTGTGGTCAGTAAGGGTGCAGTCGACATGTATATATTTTAATTTCCTATTTTACCTAAAAAATTTGTTTGCATTATTGTTTTACGCAATCATTAAATAATATTTATATATTGTACTTATGCTATTTCTACTAACATTATTAAGTTAATTTATAAATAATAAATATAACAATGGTGAATTTAACTATTTATGCACAATGCAAGAATAGTTAAAGCTAAATCAAGTTTTAACTGGATTTTACATACAATTCGATTTATAAAACTTATTACCAAAACAATATGGAATAGCAATGGATTTATAATTTTGCATAAAAATTACACCATTGCTCATTACTCAATTAGAATACTAGCATGCATAATATTTACATAAAATTTTTAAATATTATATAATGTAGTTTTTAATATTTTTTAAATATACATTAAAATTCCTGTTTGATGAGAAAAACACATTTGAAGATAATTCAATAATGTGTTATATGACATTTCATGCTAGAACAATCCTGTGCTATTGTAAGTTATTTTCATATATTGCGAATAATATTTATAAAATGTTATAAATTAATGTTACCAATTGTGATTGTTTGAATATATTGTATAAATTGCAATTATTGTTATAAATGTGCATGATTTTAATTAATTGTTGACCCAGCGTTTTAATTATTTACAAATATTTAATTGGTCTTGTTTTATAATCAGTTTATAGAAAGTTGCTTCAAAAATTAAACAATCCAATTCAATCGTAGATTATTCTATTATAAATGTATCAACAGCTATTCAATCAACAGCTATTTAAAGGTGTGTAAACACTAATTAAAATAATATCAGTCAATGTATATTTTAAACTTCAAAGTATACAGTATCAATTATTTTTACATTTGAAACAATTTTATTGAAATTTATAATATATTTATTAGCTGTAAAATATTGGGTTAGACAAAAATTGAAAGACATGGGCATTATGTGCAACAAAATATGTTTAATTAGTATCCGAATTATAACCCTGGTTAGTGCGTCGCCATAACATAAATGTTAAATTAAAAACATTAAATATTTATTTTTAATTGTATATACAGGGATGCGCCATATCAGCCTTTATGGTCACTACTGGGTTTGATACACAAACATCATTCACCATGTCGTGCACCCGCTTTGATAAGACAGCGGGTACCACATATTCTCCATACTTCAAAGTATACTTTTAAGATTTATCATTTTATTATAATGTGACTAAATATTCTTATTAAGCATTAGTTACAGAAAAAGTTAATAATAATTTAAACATTTAAATTATTGATTCTTTATCGATATATTTTATTAATTATTTATGTGAACAATCTTAACTTTTAAGGAAAAATTCACGTTTAACGTCGAGTATCCGTTCAAATTCACGGATCAAACACTTAAATCCTACCGGAGCTGCGCTAACCCTACCGGCACCCGACAGGCAACTACATATCAAAATGATTACTCATTTGGTGCCCACTTTTACGCCATGACGTGTCTTATATGCGCCGTATACTCAATGGCCGTACTCGTACTATGCGCATGCGCTAGACGTCCATTATGGGCCACCATTGACATGATTGGCACCATTATGTTGGCCATAGCTTGTCCGGTGGCTACCACTGTATGGGCGGTAACCGTACATAAAATACGTCATTTTGCAAATCCATGTAATTTATGGCGAGGGCTGGAGTTTTGCAGCGATCCCAACACAGCCGATAGCGCTAATCCTCGCGGCGAGTGCTATGAGTCAAACCTCGGGAAGTGGACTATGCTCAATATATCACAAGTATATAATTACCTACCTTATTGTTGTATAAATTGCTAATTTTAATGAATTGTACATTGTTTGTTTTATATAGATTTGTGGTTTTGTTAATGTATTCTTATGGACGCTGAGTGTGTGGTTTGTCTATCGACAGACCCAATCCCGTGGCCAACAAGTGTCGGATCAAAAGGTAGCGCCCGTTTTGGGCAAACCTAAGGCCTGGTTTGGAGAGCAAACGCCGCAATTGTCGCGACACAAGTTGGGCGCCGGGTATTAGCCAATCAATGTCACGTTTTATTTTACATTGACAAATTTTAAGTATAACTTTTGAACTGATAATTTAAAATAAATTAAACATAATAAAAGAATAAGTATTTTGAATTATTTAGTAATTTTATTATTTATTTAATTACTTTCTATATACAGTATTTTTAATAAATTATTAATTGTTATATGTTTACTAATAATTTAATTTATAAAAATTAATTATGTTGATTACTGTAAATGAACAATATAATAATATTTTAACAGTATTTTAAGTTAATTAGTTATATTGATTAGTGCTTACAACGCATTGCTACAGATTAACAACAAATTTTACTTTACATGAATAGATAAATAATGTCATTAATACGAGACCGGATTATAAATATTAATTTATAAAGCCGATGGCGATTGAATCATAAATACAACTACATTGTGCCTGGTAGTAAAAAGATACGAAATGTATTAAATTAATCCATTTTTAAAATACAGTACATCTATGTTAATTACCTTAGTCGTCTTATTATTATTAGCTTATTAATTTATTAGATTATTTTGTAACATAAAATTAAAATTATAAGTATTAATATATCCGATTTAGACAGAATTAAATTTAAACACATATTTATTACAACTTCGATGACATGTTACAATCAACGGGAAACTGTATTTATTTATGAAATGACCTAGATGTTTAATTACTAACCGTACCTACTACAATTTAGTTTAGAAAAATAAATGCTATCTCTGTATTAGTAATAGCTATGGAATGTTAATTGCTTTGATTTATGTTTATATTGTGTTCATAAAAATAATTATGATAGAAAAATCATGTGCTTGTTGCATTACAAAATGAAATTTATTATTATATGTTACTGCATTAATTAATTCAATTAATTATAACACAATTACTAAACTGTGCAACAAAAATGTGTCCCAACTTTACAGATGATTTTGATACCCTTAACGAGGGTATAACCGGCGGCTTTGGCACCGTATATAAAGTGCGCCAAAAATCTAACCGCAAAATATACGCCGTGAAACAAGTGTTAATTGAGGGTAAGTTTACATTCTACATAATTAAACAAGGTTATTTAATAAATTATTTTCTAAACAGAAAATTTACGGGAAAAAGCAATACACGAAATGAAAACTATAACATCACTACACAGTGTATATGTGGTCAAGTGTTTTAACGCATGGGTTGAGCGCAACGTTATATACATTCAGATGGAGTTTTGCGCCCATAATCTCAAAGACGTTATGACACTAAAGGCCAGAGTTTTCGGTATAGACATCGGGGACGAGAGCGTGATCGGGACTAACCGGGACTCCCAACCTGATACACATTCCCCGGAACGACATCCCATAGACTACTTGTTATCGTGCGAGATATTTCGGCAACTAGTGTCCGGACTGGAATACCTGCACGGTTTAGACCCGCCGGTTATACACCGGGACTTAAAACCGGCGAACATTCTGTTTGTGGAGAATTCCGGGAACGAAATATTCTGTAAGATTTGTGACTTTGGTTTAGCCCTGATTAAGGCCAACGCCAGTGAGAGTATTACACTCACTGCCGGTGCCGGCACTCTGGGCTATATGGCGCCCGAGTGTTTCAATGGCCGCTATTATCCAGAGTCCGATGTTT